CCGCTGAAACTTTAAAAGTTCCAAAAATCTGCAAGATGTCGCTTCTGTTAAAAGCAGTGAAGGAAACACCAAACCAGTTTTTCAACAGCCAGTCACCATCGATCTTTTTGAGAAAGACAACAAGCAATCGGAAGTGGAAACAAAAGCACAAGCTGCAGATCAAGCATTCTTTGTTTATTGCCAAGAGCGCTCGCAAAAACCCGGATGGACAAGATTTAGCCAAAACTACTCAACCACCAACCCAACAACCACATCTATCGGACACATGCCAATTATTCTTGCTCCTGCCCACGAGTATGATACACTTAACACTGTGATCAGGCGATGTATGTTTGTGTCAGAACACTTTGGGCAAGCCTACACTGTAATTACCGTAGATCAAGCACTGTATTGCGAATTGATGGAACTCAAGTGGAAGATTCCAGAATTTAATGAAAAACTGATTGTACGATTGGGCAGTTTACACATTTTGATGAATTTCCTCTAGGTAATTTGAAAGCATATGGCTGGAAGTGGATTATATGAAATGTGGATCGAAAGTGGCTTACTAGGAGAAGGAGCGGCAGAGTTAGTTTTTTCTGGCAAGGCTTATAGTAAAGCAATGCGAGCCCATAAGATAACTGTCCAAGCCCTATGGAGAATTTTGATGCCGAAAGTAATGTCATTCTTACAAGAATACAATAGCAAACTGTACAGTCTTTTATTGTCGGTGGTGACGAAGGATGACCACAACATAGATGGATTTGTTTCCATTTTTCAAGAAGAGCAATACTACCAAGCCCTGGCAGAATTTGTTACGGGTGAATGTCAAAACGTAAATTTCAAGTTTTGGTGGCAATGTATAGAAATGTTCTCAATCTTGCTTATGTTCACACGTGCCCAGAGAGAAGGGAACTGGGAGTTGCATTTGGCATCTTTCAAGAAAATGATCCCTTTATTCATGCACACGACTATTTCAACTATGCACGCTGGGGAATTGTCTATCTTGTAGAAATGGAGCAACTCCCAGATGAAGTGAAAGAAGAATTTGTTGAAGGCAACTTTGTTGTGAAATGTTCATCTAACAAGTTTAACCAAGTTGATCCCGATCACGCGCAGGAATGGCTAAATGGAACAGGAAAAAGGGCTGGTGGTATTGCTTTCTAATTTTCAAACATTTCAGAGATGGGTCTGGGCATACAGAAAAGAAAGATTTCTGGTCAACATCAACACAAATAATGGTGTTGAATGAATGAATGAATCACTAAAGTATCAGTACCTGGCGACCAGAAACAAGAATAGTTTAAGTGGAATGTTAAGTGTTGTAATTGAAGAATTTTTGCCAGACAAATATGCAAGGTAAACATGTAAATGTGTTTATACATGAACACACCCCATATTACTGTGAAAAAACCTAATTCACAACAGGGTTGCTGAGTTTTGATTTATAGAAGCATGCATGCACACCTATTTTATCTACCAGAAAACCAGTAAGTTTATTGTAGCATTCACTCTTAAATGTTCTTAATTAAACTGTGTCGCTTGTACTTAATTGATTTAGGTACCTAGAGCTCAACACAAAAAGCAGTGATGGATACAGACAATATAACTAAAAACTGCCACAATATTTAAGAGCCAAGACTATTTATTAAACACTGCATGAGTCACATTACATCTGCTGCTTAAATTTGTGCACAACACATTGAAGTTGATGGTGATTACAGTTCAGGCCAATTTAAAGTGAAATCCCAATCATGTGACACTTGGTACAAGCTAAGTTTTGGAGATGAGGCAAATATGCCAAAATGCACCTGCTATGATTTCAGCCACATTGGCCTACCATGTCGACACTTTTTTGCAATTTTTGCTAATTTTCCATGATGGCAATGGTTGTCACTGCCAACCAGATACAGAGAACATCCAAACATTTCTCTTGATGACAAATTAATTCCTACCAAAGGCAAAGCATCAGCTGACCTTTCTAATAAAGCTTACTCAAGTGATGATTTCAATGAAACCAGTGCAAATAATGACACAGGTATTATTAAAGAGATTTAAAAAAATCCAAGAAAATAATGTAAAAACAGATAAATTAGCTCAAAAAGAAGCCAGTGTAGGTTTGAAACCCTAACTTTGTTATTGTTATTGTACGTCGTTAATTTTCGTTTTGTTACTTCCTGCGACTACACACGCAGCTGCACCCAGTTTAATGTTTCATTGTATATCACTGTCAACTAGAGTAAGGTCGCTCTATTCTACAATTAGTTGTTTATGTTCAAACTCTATCGACGGTACTCAGCAGCAGTTTGGTGTGTGCGCCAACTAAGTAAGACTCTTTCTTTGTGTTATTATAGTTTGTAAACATATGTAGCTATGTTAGTGGATTTATTCGTATTTAATGCATGCCTGTTATAGTATTTGATTTGTCTAGATTGCATGACTTAGTGCGCTTTAATTCTTGTATTTTTAGTTTGAACGTTACCAACTATATTTCTATTCCGCACTCACTCTATCCAATATTCCGTTACCCGATCGATCAGTCACCATACCTTCAACCGCACAGTATTATAATCTTTATCATTAAAAATACATTTTATAACCATTCTCCACGCACATGTTATTCTATCATCGTGGTTATCGAATTTAGTGGAGTTCAATTTGTGGCGTTAACAGCACACCAAAGCAGCGTAGCTCTTAAAAGAATTTGGGAGTTACAGCCAGAAATTGCAGGGAAGTTCTCAAACAACTAACAACAATGACATACAATATAGAAAACCCAATTTGCTTTGTCAGAGACCAGTGCTGCCTTGAAACTGTTGCTGCACAATTTGTCAAAGCATCAAATTACTGATGATAAAGAAAATGTTCAAAATTCTGTTCTAGCCTGTGAGATTGCTCCTCCCAAAAATGAATTGCATACAGATACTGACGTTCAAAAGACAGCCAAAAATGATAAGTACCTGCCACTGCCATTGAGACCAAATAAAAAAAAATTTCAGCAAGAGTTGGTGAGTTAGCATCAATGATGCGAAAGTCACACCAGGTAGATATAAATATAGATGAAGACACCCAGTCTGGCATCACCAAAAATGGAAAGATGGATTCAAAGACAGGTAAAAAGAGCAAGAACAAAACTAGAAAAAGGGAGGCTGCAATAAAGCCTAATGAGGAATTGGGTGACAAAGAAGTTGTCATAACATCTATCACTTTTGGCCACACACCAGCTAAAAGGCTAAAAAGATCTATTGACCAGGAAGAATTATCACTAATCAATAATGGTGCAATGCTAACAGATACATCAATTAACATTGCCCAAAACATACTCCATGAGGCCAATTCTGATATGGCAGGACTAGAAGATACAACAATTGGCCCAAAACTTCTTTTTACAGTTCACAAAGGGAAATTTGTGCAAATTCTACACACAATGGTGAGATCCACTGGATATGTGTTTCTAACCAAGGGTGTAAAAAGGGTGAAACTAATTATTATGACAGTATGTACCAAGGTATAATTAACCCACATGTGAAAAAGCAGATTGCTAGCATGATGCAGGAAGAGTCTGATCATATAAAGGTGAATGTCAAAGCAGTACAGCAACAGAAATACTCTGTTGACTGTGGTGTTTTTGCAATAGCTTTTGCCACTAACCTGGTCTATGGGAAGGATCCATCTTGTGTGAACCTGAACCAGCAGATGATGCGAAGTCACTTACTTGGCCAGATGTCTCATAAGCAATGTTAAGTTCCAATTTTCAGAGCGAGACACAATGCAAGATGGGTTTATACGATGCCAGCAACATTCTGTGATTGTTTGGCTCTACTGTTTATGTCGCCTTTCGTGGTTTGAGAGTGCCAAAACTATCCACACTCAAGAAATGGTTCGGTGTGATAAGTGTGATGAGTGGTTTCATCAAGGATGCGCCAAGATTAAAAAAGACGTTTTAACAAGGAAAAATGTTTGGTGGATATGTCCCAAGTGTCTTTCATATGTGGATTATATTATTTTTATTACTTTAATTTTTTTCAGTCCATGTAGCCAAAGAAAGCTTTCTCACTCTGTATTTCTTCGCAAACGACAATCCAGTGGAACTAATATTATGAAAGTTATTAAAAAGATCTATTTCCGGTTTTGAAAAATATTTAATTTGTGATTTGAATTTAATTTATGCCAATGACGTCACGTCAATTTCATAGATGGAAACTAGTGCTAACATCATATCATAGGATAGTGTTTCCCTAGAATATATAAATAACATAACACAAAAGTATCTAATTGGTGTTATGTGTACAGCAGTAATCTAGAAACTTTCTGAATCGTCACCTAAAACAGTATAGTGCATTAATATATTGTTTGTATACCTCTCAATTCATTCTTTAAATTTGTCTATGTCAAATGTGTGGATCATATGATACACCAAGAAATGACTGGTACACTCTGTTGTCATCCTTCTTGAATGGCCTACTTGTTCTCAAATCATTAAGGATGACAAGTTCATCTTCTGCTGACGACCTGTGAGAGTGCAATGAAGACTTCTGATGCATGTTAACTTGACTCTCAAAAGCTTCCACAATCTTTGTCATTTCTCCAGATGCTTTGCTTTGATAATTGCCTTCTCAGTCTTGTTTGCACCCATGGAATTTATCAGCTTTTTCATTTTGCAGTTGAGATTATCCTGGAACAGGTCAATCTTGATGTTCTTGCAAGCACCACCTTTCCAACTCACAGTAGCAGCCCATTTGCAATGATGTGCTTCAGCTTCTGACAATAAAACTTGACATTGCAAAATGTTTACTAGCATCTCAATGGCATACTTGTTGAATCCGGAGGTAGAGAAGAAATGTGAAAGGAGCTGTTTCTGCAAGATTGTTAGGTATTCCCCTTTCCGAAGTTCAAACGAAGACTGGTGCCGAGTTTTCCCCCTATAGAATTATGGGGCTGAATATGGGACGCGGGAAAATGTAAATTTTTCAAATTCAATTTACATTTGTAAAAGTTTATTTACTTAAATGTAAACAAATATGGACTTATTAAGGTCAAATTCGGGTGATTTAGCACTCGAAGAAGAAGACATACCAGGTGCAAAACTTCAAAAACCCGTGGAACAATGTACAGTTGCAGTTTTGAAGCGGTGGTTATCATGCCGTGGTGCGAAAGTCACGGGGAAGCGAGAAGAGTTAGTGAAAAGGTTTGTTCTAGACTGACTTGCGGTTCCAAGGTTTTTTAAATCGATAACTTTTATTTGATATGTGCATGGGAGAGAAGCTTTATTTTTTAATCCCTCCTAAATAAATATAAAATTTTACAAGAATTGCTTCTCCTAAGATATAAGAAACGATGTGAATTCATGCATTATTCGTAATATTTGATATGTGATTTTCTCTTAAGTTGTTTTGTTTAAACTTCAACTTTTCATATGTTTTATTTATATTGTCCTGTTTTCTTTAAAAAACAGGGTCAATGATTACATTAAAAACGGACTACACAAAAAGTTAGTGGATCCAGATGGTGGTGTAAATTTGGCAAAGAAAAGAGTAGAGTTTGGCCTTGCTGAAGAAGTACACCCTCTAGAGAATGAAAATTTCCCTTCCTCTGGGTTTGAGTGTGGAACAGTCAATCTCCCAAGAATTTCTTATCGCAACATTTGGAAGTACTTGATAGAAGATGTCGAACTAAAAAAGCAGTTGTCCACAGAAAAGCCTATTGTTAAGGGCTACAATTTTTATAAATCTGGCCATGTACTACAGATTTTCTCCAAAAAAGAAGACAATAATCACTACGTTTTAAGCAAGGTTCGTCCATCAATGAAAAAGGGAAAAGTGTACACAGTAAAGATTATCTTTTCGTTGAATGGCGATATTTCCAATGCATTTTGTTGCTGTCCAGCTGGAGTTGATGGTCGATGTAATCACCTTGCAGCAACTTTGTTCTCAATAGAAGACAAAACTAGTATGGATTATGGTATGATAGCTTCTAAGGCAATTTGTGAGACACCATCAGAAAATGTACCATGCACATCAAAGCCTTGCACATGGAATGTTCCTGCAGGAAAACGCAAACTAACATCACAACCAATCCAGTCTGTAAAATTTCAGAAACATGAATATGGGAAGGTAACCAAACATTTTGCAAAGGAGTATGGTGATGTTCGAGCACCCCATGAAAGAAGTACTTCAAGTTGTGACCTGAAAGCTTTTTATAACAAAGTAAAAGAGGTTGAAGAAAAGACTGGCAAGATGATGGGCTTAAGTTTAATATTACCACATGATCTTCCAGAAGTTACTGATAATTCTGCTGATGCAACTGAGTCACAGGGTATTTTAGAAAACCTGCATCCTGATGAATATCTGTGGAAAATAACTTCACCAGACAAGTCAAATCCTATGTCACTAAATGAGATTTCTGCTAAGGCTGAACAAGTCAAAAAATGCTTGTTTAATTCAGCTAACAACCGTGAGCTAATTGAGAGCAAAACCAGGGACCAACATAATTCCATGCTGTGGTACAATGTGCGTAAGCCAAGAATAACTGCATCACAGGGAAAAAGATGTCTTTTGAAAAAAGCACAAGCCCAACAAAGGCAATATCTGAAATACTTATGTACAAACCAAAGGTACAAACATGTCAAATGAAGAAGGGAATTGAGATGGAATCAAAGATTATTGACAGGTTTTGTCAAGAAACAGGAAATACTGTAAAAAAATGTGGGTTTTTATATCTGAAAGTCATCCCTATTTAGGTGCTAGTCCTGATGGAATCACCGAGAAAGGAAATTTGATTGAAGTAAAATATGTAACTTCTAAAGAAGGTGAATCGATGGAGGACACCCTATGTAGATTAAGAATCTACAAGAAGAATGGAACCAACATTGAAATAAACAACAAGCACAAGTACTATCATCAAGTTCAGCAACAACTTTTTTGTAGTAATTACATAGCTTGTCATTTTGTTGTGTCAAATGGTGTCTGGTTGCACTCTGAAGTAGTTGAATATAATACCACCTTTTGGAATAATGTGATAACACAACTTGAGACATTCTATTTCGCAAATATTTTCCCAGAGTTAGTATACCCCAGGGTACTTTACAATGAACCACGCTGGAATAAGGTCATACCTTTTCCAACTGAGTAAATAAAAATTGCAAACAAGGTATTAGCAAGTTTATTAATCTAACATCTGCCACAGTTTAATTTTTTGTATTATTTAAAATAAATTATTGCATGCTGTTCCTTTCTACCCATTGGATGAAAACATGTGAATTATTATTATAGACAACTGCATTTTAACTACATTTTATGTAATCATTGGCGGCCAAAAGTTTGACATGCATGCAATGACAATCCATGCATCAGAAGCAATACTAGAAGTAGTAATAGGTATGACTCTATCAAAATAGTGCCAATTCTTCAGACGTTCCATGTAACGTTCAACATGTATTCGCAAACTGGCCACTTTCTTGTTATGTTCAGTTTCTTTTTTTGAAAACTGGCACTTGTCACTGAGGAAATTAGGCATGACTAAACTGGCACCACAAGCAGCTAGCTGGTCCTGGATTAAAAACCCCTTGTCTGCCATCACTAGATCACCTTTTTGTATGTGATTCAAAAATCCTGACTTCTCCACAATATCTGGATCACTAATCGATCCGCAATACAGTTCACTAGCAAATGATACAACACCATTTGGAGTTATTCCGACAAGTGCTTTCATTGTTGTGTGTGCTTTATAGCTTGAATAACACAAAGACTGCTTGTCAAGACTTGACGGGGATTCCATTCTGATCTCTGTACAGTCAATTATGGAAACTAGCTCTGGATACAGCTCTTTAAATACTGGGGGCATATAAAATATTAGTTGCTCTTTGCTTGGCCATACAATACACAATGGCTCTAATTCACACTTCATGAATTTGATCCAGGTTCGGAAAATTTCTGAAACTGTAGACACAGACACTCGAAACCTCTCCGCAAGATCTCTCTCTAGAAGTCCAAGCCTCAGTCGTAAGAGAACTAATGTAAATTCTTGCCACAATGATAGCTTTCGTTTGGTACCACTCTTATTTTCATCAAAGTTTAACCTTCTGCGACCACCATAACTGAGGTTGGCAGCTTTTTCCTTTAGCATATCAAAACACATAACCAGTGAAGCATAATTTGGAAATCCTGTAAAGAATGAGATGTCCTCATCACAGTCTTGATAAGCATCAATGTTAAATTTAGGTTCATGTTCAAGTTTATACTTGGATTTATCCAGTTCATTTTGTAATAGGTTTACCTCTTTCTTTAGCTTTTTAGCTTCTTGTTTACATGAATCATGAAGGTCAAATTGTTCAGTTTGTACTTTTGTGCTTATGTATCCCTTTTCGTCCTTGTTTTCCTTGTTTATAATTATATCGAGGTCACCGTCTTTGTTATCTGTATTAAATAAGGCTACTTGATTGTTTGGCAGTGTGGTTGAAAAATTATCCTTGACTGTTTTAGATTTAGATGGCAACTCGTATTTAATAATTTCACGGCGTCGCTTCACAGGCTTGGACCAGGGAAAAATCGTTGGTAGTTGGGTTCGGCATACCCTTTCTCCTTCGGGAAAATGCTTGCCACAAATCTTAGTGTTATCAGTCACTAGAAATTCCTTTAAATTGTCATTTCTTATCAGTCTCTTGTACTCAGCAAATACTTTTGGGTCTCGTGGAAGAGAGTGGAACTTCAATTCCGGCGAATTTCGCCAAGTATTTAAACAATTTGGCACACAACAACTGAATTTTCCCATAAATAGAATTTTGTTTATGTATTTTTTTAAAGTATTTTTCCCGCGTCCCATATTCAGCCCCATAATTCTATAGGGGGAAAACTCAGCACCAGTCTTCGTTTGAACTTCGGAAAGGGGAATTCTCTATTATCTGTGGCAACTGCATCCTTGATATCTGCAAGCAACAGGATAGACCTCAGCAAATTGACTGAATAACACCAAACACCATCAAACACCATCGTTGTTGGATCATTGTTTTCAAAGACATATTCATCTAGGAACTTAATTAAAACATCAATGATGTACTTCTTTCTGTAATCCTCATTTTTTACTTTATCACTATGAGGACAATTTGCAGTTGGTTTGTGCTTTATATCAGCTATCTGGAAAAATTCCATCAAAGCTTCAACTACAAAACACTTACCAACACTGAAAAACAGCTGCTCACAATCCTCATTGTGCTTGACATCTACTGCAACATTCCTTCGATTGAGCTTCTCACAAAAGAAACTGAGGGTACCTCTCTCCCTACCAAAACTCTTGTACAGCTTTTTGAATACAGTCTGAAAAAAGGATTATCAAATAAAATAAGTTGCACTTAAGAAATATGAGAATTAATAAACTCTAGCATGCATTACACCTGAATGGCCCTACTTAAGCTTCAAAAAGTCATATCTAGGTTAGAAGCCAGTTGTATAAAAAGCTACAGTTATTAGTAGAAAGAATTAGCCAATCAGAGTTGTTCATTATTAAGTCCAACAGTGATTATCTACCTTTATATTGGTCAGAAATTAGAATATTTGCAATAAGGAATCAATAGAAAGGCTACTCTATTGAAGTAAAAATACTTCAAGTAGTCCTGTTTTATAAGATTAATTCTAAAGTTATTAGGATTAAAATTTCTAGTAGAATATTTGTTTTCTGGAACTTTCTGAATAAATTCGTAGTAATAAAAACCTCGACAATGATAATTAGATTTAAAAAGAAGAATCAGCCATCTCCATTCTGTATTCTAATGGAAGAAGGGATAATTGTGATAATCTTTGTTTATAGCTCATATTGTTTGGATATCCCAGTGTAAATTTCATTGCACGACGTTGAACACTTTCAATTATTAATTTAAGTTTAATAGTATATGGTGACCAGACTTCACTTGCATACTCAAGCTGGGGTCTAACAATAGAAATATATAACAGTTTTGCTGTTTCAACATCACTGTTTTCTTTGCAAATTCGACGGATCAATCTCAAGTTGTGGTTAGCCTTCAGTGAAATTTCCTCTACATGGTTATTCCAATTCAACGTATTTGTTACTGTTAATCCTAGATCTGTTGTTTGGCCCACCCATTTAAGCATGGTGTAATTACGCATGGACAACTGTTCGACTTTGTTATGTTTCTTTGAAATATTTAGACCTTGCATTTTATAACATTGAACCTCATACTCCAATTGTTACTCCAACGACTTAGTTCCAATAAGTCATCTTGTAAATTTATATGATTGAATTTATTCTTTATTGTTCTGTACAACTTTTAATTGTCTGTAAATAATGCTACTGTCGAGTTGTTTGCAATGTAATTTAGCATGTCGTTAATGTAGACTAAGAACACCAAAGGTCCCATATTTTATCCCTGTGGTACCCCTGACGTCACTGCAAGCCAGTCCGAGTGTACACCATCAATCACAACTCTCTGCTGATGTCCAGCCAAATAGCTTTCAAACAATTTAATCTGTTGACTTTCAATTCCAAAATGTTTGAGTTTTTTGATCAAATGACTGTGAGAGACTTTGTCAAAAGCCTTTGCAAAATCTAAAAATATACCATCAGTCTCATTGGCCTTTCGACAACGATTCAAGAATCTTGGATATACCAGGAGAAGCTGAGTAGCCATAGATCGACCCGGAAGGAAGCCATGTTGCAGGTGATAAAGCTGGACAGATAAAAAGGGGAAACTATAGTTGAATATACACTTATCATGTTAGCTTTCTCTTCTGGTTTAGTAATGAATACTTGATCACGTCACTGACACTAGTCTAGTGTTTTGTCATCGACTTAACGTACGTCCAAAAGCGTTTCGGATTCTCATGAATGGTGGATTTGAGTTCTGATGCATATACTTGTTTTCTCCTTTTCAAAACAGTTTTTAATTCCCGACGTCGTTTCTTAAACTTATCCCAGTCAACTGAACTTTGAGATTTAATTGCTTTTCTACATCGTTTGTTTTTGTTTTTTGAGATTGAATAGGTGATGAGAGTCAATCCAAGGATGGTCGCTAGATTTACAAACTCTAGATCTAGGTATGTGTTGATCGACGGCCTGCAAAAACAAGTCGGTCCAGTTAGTCACTTTGATAAAGCCTAAGTCAAAGGGGATATTCCTTATAGTTTCTTTGAGCCCATTCTATTCAGCGTTTTTGAAGTTATAAAGAGCACGCTTGGTTGAATTATTTTGTTTAGGAATTTGAAGGTCAATTTGAAAGTTAATTAGTTTATGGTCAGTACTAATTATATCATAGAAACCATGCACATCAGTAATCTTGTGAGGAATATTTGTCAACAACAAATCTAGAGTATTGTTCTCATGGGTAGGGGAATTAATAAGTTGCCAAAGGAAGTTATCTTTCACCAGTTTAACAAAATAAGTATGAATTTCATCATTTCTTGTCAATGCCATTGAAGACCAATCTATGTGAGGCAGATTAAAATCACCCATAAGAATTACGCTCTGGAAAGCCTCTCTATGCACATTGGTCATTTCTTTAACAGTTTTATGTATTGTACATTTGAATTTGGTGGTCTGTAAAATATGGCTAGAAGTAGCTTCCCTCTTGAATTTGGTCTTAATTCACAAGCTACGAACTCAGCTTTATCTTCGAGATCAAATCTTCTCAAACTTGGAATACTTCTCCACACAGCCAATAGTACACCGCTACATTGCTTTCCTTATCTGTCTTTTCTGTGAATAACGAAATCGTTACCCTAATAATTTTGTTACTAAGTATGTCAGCCTTAGCCAAGTTTCGGTTATACCAATTACATCATATTCAAATGTAGAGGTATTAAGTTTGGCTGTTTTATTAACAATACTTTGAGCATTAAGATGCAGACTATGCATTAATTTCTGAAACCGCAAAGGCCTGCCTCACTTCAGATCCAAGATGTCGTCGAAGTGTTCTGTCTTTCATCTGGCATTAACTCAATCCCTTTCCATCTGGCTCAATTTTACAAATAGAGGCGTTGATTTTAAAGCTAAGAACTCTTTTATCTTTGAACGCTTTAGTATTGTCAACATAATCGAGAAAATACTGATTTATCAGCAAATACTTTAAATACAGCATCAGAGCTACAAACGCATGACCAACCAACGCCATGTTTCTTGCATGTAAAAATCATATGTACTGTAGGGCATCTTCCTTCCATCTCTTTACAAATTTCCAACATCGAACTTTGAGATAAACCAACATAATTTCTTTGGCTCAGGACAGATGGGTTACTTCTCCTTGCAATCTCAATGAGCTCGTTGTTGGCCACACTGAAAACTTGTTTTAATATGTTCTTTGAAATTTTGCACAGTGTTATTAAATATAGTTGTTAATTGCTTGTGGTGTAAACACCATGTAATTTATAAGAATTTCTAAGCTTTTGGCCTGTGAGCTCAGGACATCATTAAAGAAAATTTTCATTAAAGAAAGTTTAATTACAAACAAACTATGTGCGCAAGCAATTATAAACGGTTAATTAAGAAGAGATAAAGGTTCTAATCTAATATAAAACTAAGCATGCCAGAACTAGAACAAACAAGACCATATGTTATTTTAAGTGGTCGCCCTTTCTGTGGAATAGTTTTATATTTGAATATCTCAATTGATTCCCTAGTTATACGAGGAAAATAATTGTTCACAGGAGCGAGAAGGGATGAATCTTCCCAATTAAATTTGTGGTCGTTTAATGTGTGGTCGTTAATAATGTAACTATCATTATTACCTGGAATGGTACAGAGGGCTCTAATTTTCATGTCTGTGACACAATGATTACTAGAGGTAGTGTTTGGCAACAGGCTTGGTGTTATCCTGGTTGTTAACTGATGTACAACGTTCATCAAACCTTACTCTTAGAGATCTTCCAGTTTCACCGATATATAGTAAACCACATTTGTTGCATGAGATAGAATAAATGAAGTTGGAAAAGAGGCATGTGAAATGGTGCCGGATTAAAAACTGTGAATTGGGAGCCAAAATAACAGTGCTGGAATCGGTAAATAAGCATGTTTTTCACTGGCCAATGCCACATGGGAACGTGCCATTGGGCTCTGAACAGTTTTGCTGTGGAGAGCTGTGAACCAATGTGTTCCAGATATTTTTGTCACGCCAAAAGGAGACTAGGGGGTTATCAGTGAAAATGAAAGATCTTTCGGGATCATTCTGCAGGATATGAAAGTTCCTAGGTAAGTTATCCCTAACAGCAAAATTGAAGGGATGATGTGTAAGAACTAAGCAAGTAGAATTAATGCTAGGGGTGCTAGAGACAGAGTCTTTAAGGGTGTTCAAGCAGGAAATGTCAGAGGCCTTAGATAAGGCAGTGGCAATACCGTAAATGATCAATTAAGCGCCGCTGCGCTTATTGCAAATATCGATTTAAAGACGCGGCACTTATTTGACAGCGGTGCTTATTCGACAGCGGCGCTTATTTCAAAGTGAACAAATAGATTATTTTCTGAAGGCCGATGAATCGAATAAACTTTTGGTAGAGGTTACAGGAAAAAGAAAGCGCGAAGTTGGGCTGGTGATTCCAGCTAAGTTCACAGCATATACAGCAAATCGACGACATGAGCCCGGTTGTAGGAGATATTCGACAATAAAACTTTAAAGTTTCAATAACTGGCCTCAATAATTTAAATGTTAGGATTAACACGTTTAAATAAAGAATCGTTTATTTCTACATTTTTAGCGTTTATTTATATCTTCCTAAATAGGCGCGCGGCGCTTATTCAACAGCGGCGCTTATTAATTTTTTTTTTATTGAGGTGCGGCGCTTATTCGACAGCGGCGCTTATTCGAGTAGCGGCGCTTAATCGATCATTTACGGTAAGTGTAGAGGGATAGCCACGCCTAACAAAAAATGTTTTCATCTCCAGACATTTGGACTAGAAGTCATCATCTTCACTGCAAAGGCGGCAGTGCGACAATTGAAAATGATCCTGTACAGCCTTTTAATCACTTTTTTGAAATATTCTGAAAAAATTATTCTGAAAAAAATATGAATTAAATTTTCCACTCAGAAAAGTATCAAATAAAAAAGTAATTAACAAAGTCAAAAGTCCATGGATGACAAAATGAATAGTAAAATCAAAGAGAGTTGGATTACAATCAGATCAACATTCTATATTGGACTGATAGTAGAGTGGTATTGGGAAATCTCATGAACCAACAACACATGTTGTTTTAACATTTTTGTATTGAACAGAATGTTCTTGAATGAGTTGTTGATGGGGTGCGATTGATCTTGGGATGGTTACAGATGATGGCAAGTTGTTATACCACTTATTCCACAACTTTTTCAATCGTTCAGGTAGTTCAGCGTCCCATGCAAGTTTCTCGTCGCTAATGTCGCGGAAAATCAGCTTCCCTGATAATGTCGTTGGGGAAACTAATCCGAGAGGGTCGTACACTTTGGCTAGGGTGGACAAGACTCCTCGTTTGGTCGGCTCTGTTTCCACCTGCGGGAATTCAATGCTCAGGGTGTCGGCCTCTTTGTCCCAGGGAAGGCCCAGTAACTTGGTTCCTGATGATGTTGTTCCCAGCTGCTGTTTGGCGTATGATAGATCGTCACTTCCGACATTCGCGTCTTTGTCCACTTCTAACTTGTTCTCATTGCTGTGCCACTTGTGCAGGTTGAATTTCGCATCTTCAAAGATTTGAATAACATTGTCATATGTAGTATAATTGTTGTCCTGTTCTAACTTCTTCACCAGCTGCTGAAGCCTTCGAATACTTCCGATCTTGTTGGTAGGTAGCTCTGGGTGGTTCCCTATCCAGGGAAGGCCGGTTTCGTACCACTCCTCGGGAATACGTGTCAACTGCTCTTTGAATTCTTGGTACACTTCAAATTGATCTCCTGCATGCGAATCAGCCAAACCAAGCACATCAAGACTACAAAGCTGGTTGAAATCAACACTCTTGGAACTTGTAACCAACAGTGGAGCAGTATCTACTTCTCTACCTGGTGACATAATCGTCCAGCCAAGTCGGGTCTTTTCTGCGATTGGTTGACCGGGTGATCCGATTCTTGATGCTGTCTTTGTTTTAATTGCAGCATATTCACTGGCACCAAGCACAACGTGAACAGGTAGGTG